ACCAGTCAGACCCCAGAGACTCGGTACAAGTCTGACCCGAGAGACTCTGTACCAGTCAGACCCTAGAGACTCTGTACCAGTCAGACCCCAGAGACTCGGTACAAGTCTGACCTGAGAGACTCGGTACCAGTCAGACCCTAGAGACTCGGTACCAGTCTAATTTTTCCCTCCTGTCGGTGAACCTGGAGAAAGCTAATCTTTCAGGGGATGAAAACTGTCTTAACTTCTTATGTCCTTGATTTTCTTCTCAGGAGCGTCAGATGGAACTTCAAGAACGACGCTCCAAGGATGAACACGGCGGGGCCTATGTGGGCGGGGCCTCTGTGGGCATTCCTCCCCTCTGTCCCCCTCCCTCGCCTCTCCTCTCTGCTCCCTCCATTCAGGGCCCGTGTCGTGTCAGGCTGCAGGCTGAAAAGATGCTTAGCCGTTCATTGGAGCGGGCCCCCAGCGGGGCCGGGGCCCCCAGCAGGTCCGGGGCCCCCAGCAGGTCCGGGGCCCCGGGGGAGCTGCCTTGTTCTGAGGCTACAGAGCAGCTGCTTCAGGCCGAGGCTGTCCTCCTGCAGCGGAGGGACAGACGGCGTCTGGCCAACAGGAAGCAGCTGCAGGAGCGGATGGATGTTCTGGACCAGCAGGTCTTCATCCCTCTGTAGAAGGTCCGTTTTATCAGTTCTGAATGACCAGCGATGGACGGACTCGGACCAGGGGTTCTACTGGATGCGGGTCAGAAAAGTTCTGATTAAAGAAGCAATAAATCGGTGTCATTTAGAACGCCGCAGAGATGCTGGACAGCAGTTGCCATGGAGACATATGCTGTGGCCTGAGCTGCTGGCTGAAGTTCTTCAATCACTTACATGAAAACAATGCAGAACCTCCCTGAGATCCCATACTGATACAGGATCTGATATCAGGCTAATCTCGGATTAAATATCAATCTGCATCTGCCTGAAGTTTCTGGAACCGGTTGGTTCATAATCTGAGGATCATTTCTTCTCCTGTTGATCAGTATCATTGATCCCTTCATCAAACCGTTGCTAAGTACAAAACAGGGAATAAAATCGTGAATCGACCTGATATCGGATCGATGATAGAATCAGTCATCAGAAGGTTATATCAGGACGTCCAGTAAGGCGGAAACGGGCCCAAATAGAACATGGAGGTTCTATTCAGACGGTCCAGATCTCCGGATTAAAATCCTCCTCATTGGTCTGCTGTGATAATCTGATATTGAGGAACTAGAGGTTCTGTTGGGATTAGCATCTAGAGACGTTTGACGATTTTCTTTCAGTGAATTTATTGATCCCAAAATAAACTGAGATGCTGTGAATCTTTTTCATCCAGCTGTTGTCTCCTGTAGAGGTCCGTCTTCCAGTGACCGTGTTGGAGCCTCTGACTGGTTCCGATGAAGATGATGCTCAGGGTTCTCCATTACGTTCTTCATCCTGCTTCATTTTTCGACAGGCGGTAGACGACGACTTCATCAGATATGAAACTGAAGCTTTGAGAGTTAATGAAGTCAGTCTGGGATTATAAAGTAAATCTGCTCAGTTTATAATTCATTGAGAAACGTTTGGAGGGATTTAATCTGCTCTGGATTCAAATAAAAGCATTTTTAAAAATTTCTCATCTCAATCAGTGGTCCTTCTAACTGTCAATCATCCTGGTGAGGTGTTTCCGTAAGGCCGTCCTACGCGCTCGTTCCATTAGCTAGCTTTTTCTGCACACTTTCAGGCGTATATCTGTAGTAAACTACGGTTTCAGACAGTCTTTGAAGCTCACCTTTCTGACTGCGGTTCTTGGAAAATGGCTGAGGGTCGGAAGAGAAAAATAATAATAATTGAACTTTATTGATCTCACATTAGAGAAATTCCCTCTCTGCATTTTGGGCTGCCATTGTGCGGCTCCTGGGAGCAGTGAGGGTGTAAGGGTCTTGCTCAGGGACCCAGAGTGGAGGCTGTGAGGGTCAAACCTTCTAAGACAAGCACACTTCTCTAACCACTGGGCCAACACTATCCCAGGATTTTAGGGGCGGACATTCTATGAGCTATGAGAACAGCAACTTTTAAACAAGTGAAGAGAAAAAAAAATGAAAAAAAATCATGAAAATCCTCCACTATACCTTTAATCTAAGGAAAACAGGCTTAAACCCTGCAGAGCGCAGTTCTAGGGATTGGCCAGCAGGTGTCAGGCTGGAGCTTCCTGCAGTTTGCTGCCTGATCTAACCAAAAATCAGAGTTTGATCAATGGAGGAAAACGAAGAAAAAACACAGAATGTAGATTAGAGTCAGAATATAATTCCAGTTTCTGCTTAAAGAAAAGCTGCTGATTTATTTGACATCAGGACTTAAGATAGAGAGGAACATGTTCTGATCCACCTCCATAAAGTACAGAGCTTCTGCTGAGGCCTCTGGATCCCATTCTGGGTAAGAAGAGCTTCTAAGGCTGGAGGAGCAGAGAGTAAATCATTAGTTCTGGAGAAACATCACCATCTCCCTGGACTAAAACATCCATCATGAACATCACAAACATCTGCAGGGTTTTAGTTACATCTAAGTTTAATTCCAACAACATTTTCTTCACATCAACAACAAACATCTAAAGTTCTCCTGAAGAGCAGAAACTAAAGCTGAACTTTGAAGCAAACATCAGGAGTCAACCACCAGAAGCTTCTGCATGTAGGAGTTCAGCCACTTCTGTCTCTCCATGGAGGTCAGGAGTTTGCTCTTCTCCCTGAAGGCGGCGTCGTCGGCCACCACCATGTTCCTCTTCAGCAGGCGGGCTCCTCCTGAAGCCCACTCACTTGGCCACACCCCTTCCACACTGGACAGGACAGAACCACCAAGACTTTAGGATCTCCTCAAACACCAGCTGCCCTCAGAGGTAGTTTAGTTAATCCTGCTGATATTTATAGAAAGTGTCTGACTGCAGTTCCACTGTAAAGCCGGACATACACTGAGATTTTTTTCAATCTAAATTGTTGCACGTAGCTACAGCTAACTGGACATCGTGAGCTGCAGCTACAGCTAACACTGTACGACAGATGTGCAAACTGGTCCATTTAAACTCTGCGGTTTCATCATACAGTGTGACCTCACAGCTCACGATGTTTGTTCTCACGCTGTGCGACCCGACGCTCTGATGCGATCTACCTGCTCACACTGTATGTCTATAAACCAGATGGGACTCAGCTCCGCAGTGAGATGGCGCTACTCGGACTAATCTATCCGGAAGCCAGACGAGTAGAAGAGGAATGTGAAGCTCACTAGAGTGAAACGCGATTGAAAAATTCTTTCACGACTCGAAAGTCAGCCCGAAAAAGGGCAAAAAATCATACAGAGTACAGCTGGCTTAAGGCGTCTTAGTCAAGATCAATGACCGGCGTACCTGACATGTAACAACCAGACCATGCATATTGCTTTTGGTTAATAGAATATATTAATTAGGCTATGGGTGCTTAAAAAAATCCAACATCCCCTTTTTTTACAACTAGACTACTGGGAACATCTCCACCTTTATTCTACATCTTATTTGGCATTGATGCAGGCTGTGGGTCTGCTGGTTCTGACCATACTTCAGACATCAAGCTTTTATTCATCCATTTATCAAAAAAAGAAGAATCTTAGTTTGCTTTGCTTGATCTTCCAGTCGTCATATTAGAGCTGGCCTTTGGGTTGGCTTTTTGACCTTTGAACTTTTGTTAATAACTTTAAAATAAACGCAGCACTAATTAAACCTTTTGTTCTGAGTTTAATGCTTCTAACTGAAAAAATAAGGTGAAAATTAAAAGTTTATGAAATAGGAAATTTTTCATTGCAGGGTTTGACGTTCTGACTTTCACATTTCATTTGCCCAGAAACAATTTTTACTTGCCCAGTATAATGTTTGATAAATATAGTTCCTAATATTCATTTTTGTATACATATCAATGAAACATGTTTGTTTTTTAAATGTTTTTTGTAATTCAGTATTTTTTAAGTTTCCAGGTTCCTGGTGTGAATATGCATGCGTCCGATAATGAACTCAAGCCTACATTACCATGTTAACATGCTTTTCAATCCTTCCTGCACATTCTTTTCAAACTAAACTTTGCTTTAAACTTTTGTGTGCTTGGAAAAATATAAATTGTAATGTTAAAAATCTAAAAAAAAAAATTTGACAGGTTAAATACTTAAGATAAATCACAAGATAGAAGTCAATGTCACAAATGAATAACTTATTTTAGAGTCACGGTATGTTTATACAAGATAATACTATTATTAATATTATGTGACTTTTCTAGAGAATCATTACATAGTTATTTTATTCAGGGTTTCCACAGTCTTACATAATTTCAGAATTCACTGACTTTTAACAGGATTAGTTTCCCCTGACAAAATAAATGCAGCAACAAGACAATAATAATAAAATAACAGGTCACCAATTTAACATGTTTAGCTCCATAACATTTAAATGCACCTCTCCAATGTCTAAGAGAAAAAAATTTTTTTAACATATGACCAATGTACAGAAGACTGCCATATGATAACGCTTTCTAGCTTGTTTGTCGTTTTGGTAACTACATCAAAATTACCGCAAAGTGGACAAAAATCAAGCCATCTGGCGGAAAATCTCGCGGCTTTTTCAAATCACGCGAAAGTGTACAAAATACAATAAAAATGGCACCGGCTGGGTCGTTTTCAGCTAATGTCGGCGATTTTAAAGTAATTTTGAGTGATAAATAATTTTTTTGCGATCACTGCACTTGCCCGGCGGGCAAATGCAATGAAATTTGTACTCTCCCGACAATAAAAAGTACTTGCCCCGGGCGATCGGGCAATGGTTAACATCGAGCCCTGCATTGTCTACAAGTAAAAATTTACAAGGAATGAATTTGCAGCGACCGCTGTGGATTCACATATAATTCCTAAATAAAGTGCTTAGCGAAGGGTGAGAGGGTTCACTGCTCCTCCCTCACCTCGTGAAGATAAAACCAGCTGAACTTTTCTACGATAAAGCAGCCAGTTAAAGAGCAGCACAGGGTTGAGTTCCCAGTTACCTGGCCTCCGCCCTGTCTGGACCAAACAGCCACGCTTCCCTCATCAGACCAGCCTTGCCGTCTGCTGCCGCTCTCAGGCTCGGCGTTGACATCATCTGGATGTTCCAGTCATGGAGGGAGATGGAGGGGAACAGAACATCCCAGTCATCAGGTTTTACCTCCTGTGGATCTTCAGGGTTTCTATGATTAGATCATAGAGATGCAATCTTTGTTCATAGGGCAATAGCAATGCGCCTGAGGTTTCAGCTGATCCCACATCAGATTAAACTCACCTGAGAGGTAGTCTAGGATGAGGGAAGCCAGACGTCATCGAGGAAATTACCAGAACCCAAATCAGCAGGAAGGACATCCGAGAAAAAGCCCAAAGGTCTGACATCCTGAAGGAGACAAAAAAAAACCTCCTGAGAGTCTCATTTATTCAGATAATTCACTAATAAAGTCCTTTCACCTGCTTCCTTCTTCAGGCTAACCTCCTCCACCTCCTGGCTACTGTGTAACGTCATTATGTTACTTTATTGACCAACACCAGAATCTGGGCTCAAAAACCAGGACAGAGAGAGAGAGACCTGTTGGACTGAGTCATGGTGAAGTTCCAGGACTCCCAGAGAACTGATTCACTGTAGACTGTTAGTTTGTACCATCTATGGTTTGCAGCAGAACCTTTAGAACCTCACAGGAAACCAGTAACAATGATGTGATCTGTTGGACCTACATGTCCAGCTGTGATGAGAATAAAAAAGGTTGTTCTGAGCAAAGCTTTTTTTCCTCCATAACTCTGGACGTTAATGTAGATATGATCAGAACCATCTGGTGGGCTGTTGTCACACTTGAGCTACACCCCTCCCCTAATCTCTCCTCTCATTGGCCTTCAGCTCTGACCAACCAGGGTTCTAAGACTTCTAAACCTAACAAATGTTACCCTACTTAGACTTTCTACAAAAGCTATTTGATTGGGATAGCATTCCAGCCTCTCTGCTATTGTAACAGTTTACCAGTAAGTCAGGCACTGAAGCAGGGATGAGAAGAAAAGGGGAGGAGCTAAAGGATCTGGTGGAGCAGGAGGATGTTGTAGGTCTACAGCATGGTGGTCTGGACGCTCTCTATGAGCCAAATATTCTGTTTTTTTCTGCTTGTTTCCTCCTTTGCAGAAGTAATCTGCTCTTCTGACTGAACTCTCCATCTTGTCTTGCAGTCTGGTTCTCTGGATACCCTCCTTATAACTTCAGTTAAAGACACACTGTAGATTATGGCCACTAGGGGCGCTAGACCTGTAACTGCCTGCATTTTGCTTCTACTAAAGCGGGGGTCCGCAACCTATGGCTCTGCAGCCGCATGCAGCTCTTTAGCCTGGAGCTTTTTCAAAAATGTATGACATTTTTTTTTTTTTATATATAAACTAAAATGAACTATGTTTTCCAATGCTGTTAACATTTGTATAATAAATACATTTAAACAATAATTTGCATCATAGCCATAGAGATCAGTGGCCACAACTTGTAGCCAGCGTCAGCGGCGCGGCGCCAGGCTAACAAAGCTGCAGGTTCGTCTCAGGCTATGGTTCCCAGAGGGAAAAAAGAAGATAGCTGATGAGAAAAGAGGATTCAAAGAATAATGGAGCGAATCATTTGCTTTCATTATCAGTGAGGAAGGATTGCCTGCATGTTTGCTTTGAAATGAAAGGTTGTCAAAAAATAAAAATGAGGAAAGTCATTTCCAGGGAAGGCTAAATATGCAGCCGACCACCGAGCTGGGAGGGAGAGAAAAAGAGAGATTGCTGAACTTCTGGATAAATTAGGAGAGCAAAGATAGATTTAAGAAGTAGATTGCATCTCCAAACTCCACTACTGCTGCTAGTTTGGCTGCAAGGATAGAAAACCGTTGATAGATCCAACATGTAGCGCTCTGAATCAGAGATGGAAACTTTCTTCCATTTGTTCCCCAAATCCTAAAAATCTAAATCCCACCAAGGAACGCTGGTGATGGAGGATGTGGGATTTCAGGGTTAGAGAGCTCTGCTCTGATGGATGTCACTTCCTGCTTGGTTCCTCATGACTCCATCAGCTCCTCCCAACAGAAACACCATAGAAAGATTACTTTATCCTGTTTCTATTATTACATCAATGCACCGCACACGGTGAATGGCGGTGAAGCGTTCACTGCTCACCTCATGCTGCTATGTGCCATTTGCTCCAGGATAAACATTTAATCATGAATGTTTATTACAATTTAAGCCGTCATAGTCCTTTTCTATAGTGGAATAAAACATTTTTGCGGCTCCAGACAGATTTATTTTTTGTTTTTTTTGGTCTAATATGGCTTTGAGCAGTTTGGGTTGCTGACCTTTGACCTAAAGATAGAAAATAAGAAAGATCACTTACCAGTCTAATAATAAAGTTGAGAAAACAGCCATTAACATGCTAACATTAGCCCACCTTGCTATTGCCATGTTAACATTATCCCTCCTTGCTATTACCATGCTAACTTTAGTCCACTATGCTATTAANTATTAACATGCTAACATTAGCCCACCTTGCTATTGCCATGTTAACATTATCCCTCCTTGCTATTACCATGCTAACTTTAGTCCACTATGCTATTACCATGCTAACATTAGCCCACATTGCTATCACCATGCTAACATTAGCCCACCTTGCTATTACCCTGCTAGCTTTAATCAACCTTGCTATTACCATGCTAACATTAGCCCACATTGCTATTACCATGCTGACATTAGCCCACCTTGCTATTACCATGCTGACATTAGCCCACCTTGCTATTACCATGCTGATTTAGCCCACCTTGCTATTACCATGTTAACATTATCCCGCCTTGCTATTACCATGCTAACATTAGCCCTCCATGCTATTACCATGCTCACATTAGCCCACGTTGCTATTGCCATGCTAACATTAGCCCACCTTGCTATCACCATGCTAACATTAGCTAAACCTGCTATTACCATGCTAGCTTTAGCCAACCTTGCTATTACCATGTTAACATTATCCCCCCTTGCCATTACGATGCTAACATTAGCCTACCTTGCTATCTACACTCCTGTTTCACCCATTCCATCCGTCTTTAAGTTTTGCAGACCTGGACATGATAGTAAATGAACCATGGCTAACTGCTAATGATGCTACATGAATGCACATTAACCAATACTGAAACTCGTTTGTTCCCTCATGATAAAAAAAGGTCAAAATTAACTCTTTTAAATTCATGTTTGCCTAAAAAATTATCAAACCTAAAAGTAGAAACAATTTCAGAAGTAAAATAAGTCCTTTATGAGGCTTTCCGAAACTTCACTCCTGTCCTATTAAACTCCATTTATGGTCTCTTGACTGGAAGTTCTCACCAGAAACCAGCAAAGATTGAACCTAACAGTAAAGAATAACTTTTATATCAAATCAGACGGTTCATAAACCTGCAGCCAACATGAAAGCATGTTTCTCCAGAGATCCATTCTCACTGGACCCCGGACGGGCCCCTGGTTCTGAGGATGCCCAGATCTGCTTCAGCATCAGCTGGGATGGTAGAGACCAGGTACCTTCATGTTTACCTGGTTTGATCAGAGAACCCATGAATAAAACCTTAAAGACCATAAACTGAGATCAGCCACCTTTGTGTTCCAGTCAGAAAGCTTGTTCCCAGTCAGGCTGGTACCTGAACGTTGCAGGCGGCTGATCTTGGTCCTTACCTGCGTCTCAGAAACCAGAATCAGAAGTTTGTAAAAATCAACAGCTTTCTTCCCAGAAACATTAAAAACACGCCATCAAATCAAGGATTTCCCTCCACTTCAGGTTAAAGGTAGCGCAGAGCCTCCAGTACTCTGTCTTATATACCCTCTCACCCTGGACAGTGGTGTGACCCCCCCCTGCCCGGCCACACACCCACACCACAGAGTAACACCCCTGCACAGGTCAGGCTGTGGAGCTGAAGGAGCTCGTTAGTGTCCACTTCAAACACTGTGGCTGGAGGCGCTGCTGTTTGCAGGACGCCATCTAGTTACTGAACATCATTACACGGCTGCGGTGCATTAATGCACATCTTCAGGATCTGCTGCAGATGTTTCTGTGCCTTTTTCTGCCAGAGATGTTTAATCTTTCAGAGCAGGAGCTGGATCACAGATCTGACGAAGCTCCACGCAGAGAGGGGTGAAAAGATGAAACGTCCTCATTCGTCCATCCAGGACAGAAGAACCAAACAGAGCAGAGAACAGGCTGATATTAATAGAGTAGAAATCCATTAATTTAAACAAACAATGCACGTTTAGAGTATATCTTTCATAAAAAGATGAAGCTTTTTCAATATGAGGCTGATGAGGAGATTTCTAACTGATCAGACTGGACGGCTGCTTTCCTGACGGGAGGCGGATCCTGTTCTATTGAATGTGGAGAAAATAAAGTCAGTTCTGGAAATCAGTCATTCAAACTGAGGTTTATGGAGTAAATATATTTAATGGGACACAGTGTGTGCAGAGACTCCTGTTTGGAGCTGAATACCATTAAAAATGGGATCATTGTTGGATTCTGAGCAAAAGGAGAAAGCTTTGAATAAATCTGAGGCGTTATGAAGGGAATCGATTGAGAAACGATGATTAGAGCTGTTAAAGAAAATCGTTAGGATAATTATT